TTTATTCATCAAGAGTTATTGAGATTCTTAAATTGCATTTTTATATCATTTCTATAAATTTTAAAACATAAACACATAGTTTTTCTGTATATTTGTTCAAAATGAGACTATTACATAAAATTTCTTTTTTAAATACTAAATTATATATAATTTTATTCACGTAATAATTCAGATTATATTTTCACATTATTTATTTCAATGTATTTGTATTGAAGATCACTTTACAATATTGTTTTGTTTAGAGTATACATAAGTTGAAATACATTAAATTCTATAAATTATGTGTCTTATGACACATATCTTTTTAGCATATATTTAAAAATATAAAAATTGCAACCTTTTCATATATCAAAAAAGTAAACACAATTATCATCAGAGTTCTTAATTTTATCAATTAACCATAATATAATATATATCTAAATGTACTATATATATGAAAAATATATTACAAAGTAAGTTATTGTTTTAAAACAAAATCATTACATATTAGGATTGTTTCTTTATTGTTTTCATATAACATTTATTTAATGACTGACATTTTTTTAACTCTCCGCGCGTGGTAATGAAACGATTTAATACCTTTAGGGAAACGAAAATGAAAGACTTTTCAGTTGGAGAAAGGATACTTGCTACGTGGGCAGATGGGAGAAAATATCCAGCGAAAGTAAATGCAGTGTTAGGAAATGGTAAGCAACCTAACCTTAACTATGTATGTGTGAAAGAAACGGACTGTTCCCTATTACTCGTTTGACGTTTCTTGTTCCTGGCAGGATAATTTTTAGACAAACAGTGATCGTTTTCTAATTTAAAATTCACTATTTTCGCAGATAGATACGATGTACTCTTTGATGATGGATACGCAAAGACCGTTAAATCGTCGAAAATGACAAAAATCGCTACAACATCCACAAAGGTATAAATTTAATTTGTGAGGTTATGTTCTACTATCATTAATATGAACTTTAATAAACTATATTTGGTCGTTTTTTTCTTAATTATTACACGCACAATGTTTACAAACAAAGAAAAATAGTATTAGACTAATTAATCCGAATATTAAATAAAATATTGTTGATAAATATTTTTTTACATTATTACAACTGTTTCAATAGTAATCATAGAAATTAAATAAATTTGAATATTCACATTTTTAATATGAAATGCTATTCTTACGTTTTATAAAAATTGATGATTAATTAATATTTTTAATTTTTTATTTGTGTTATGTAAATAGTTTGATACAAAAGAAATAAATGATGTAAAATTTATTATTATAAAATCTATTAGTGAAATGGTAATTAATGGTAATTAATAAGAAATTAAATAAAAACGTCAGTGAATAAAAAGTAAGTTTAAAATGATTTTACAGCAACCTGTTCAAAGCGAAGATTACATAGGAAGTAAACAAGAAAGGAGAGATAAGAAGCGAAAACATATAGTGATGGAGTTGTTCCATACACATTCTAGAAAGCGATCCAAAAATGAAGCGGATAAGTTAGTAAAAAAAGAAAGTCCTACAATAAATGA